GGGAGTTTTTTCTTGTAGAGCTTTGCAGTTTTCCTCTTTCAATGATTTTTCTTAAAATCACAATTCTAGTAGTTATCTCAAAATTGTTTGGTAGCCTTGATTTAGTTGCAACAATCTCTTGTGCAAGAAACAACGATGCGAACAAAGGTTGAGAAAGATCTTCGCATGAAGTCCGATGAGGTCTCAAGTCTCCAGAATAACATCGAGTCGTAAGTTTTAGGACATTTGTGTCAGCATCTTGATTATATATGAATATCTATTCTATATATCTATTTTTGGTGTATATAGGTTGACAGTCAAATCCGCCGAGATGGAGAGTGCTTTAGACAAGCTAAAATTGGAGTTGACTGCCAAACTTTCAGAGTTGGACGATGTTCGGAAAGAGGTCATTTCGCCTAGCCTTTACTTCCATTTTATCCAAGCTGATTCTATGTTGTTCAATTTAGAAAGATAAAGCCGATGTGGGGAAACAGACAGCGGAGAGTCAGGTGTCAACGCTAACCTTGCAGTTGCAAGAAATGGAGAAGAAAATAGCTGCTTCGAATCAGACTTTGTGGGTTTTGCGTCTAAATGCTCTAACGTTCTCCAGTTATTTACGGCTTTTTATTGCTTGTTTAAGACCCCTTCATCCGAATTCATATTTCTTTGATTCTTTCAGAGAAGAGCAAGCCAAACAAAGAATTTCTGACTACGAGGCTCAAACTGTTAAACTAAATGGAGACTTAGTAGCAGCCACTCATAAGCAAAACGAAGTATGCACAATGCTCTATTTTTGAATTTTTTTATTAGTTATTCAATATTCTACAGTTGACTCGAGAGTTGGCACTCAATGTGGAAGATTTGTCCCGCACGAAAGCTGAGCTCAACAAGTCAACCAATGAGTCTGTTTTCTCGTATTTCTTCTCAAGATTACGTTAGATTTGTTTTAGCCTTTATTTGATTTGTATAGTTCATTTAGCTTCTCATATTTATCCAAACAGTACATTCTGTAGGTGAAGGTATCTTTAGAAACGTCTTTTCGTAATTAGTGATTCTTGCACGGGTGCCAAGGAGTGATAGTTAGCTTACGTTGTTACAACTTTTGCACACTTTCTCATAGTCCCTATTAAATTCAGATTTACTACTATTGAGAGGTGTAACCGGTTTAGAAAGTATTTTATTTTCCATTGCTAGTCGAAGTTAATAACCTCCACCCATCAATTCTACCCTGTGCCCCGGCATATTTTGTCCTTTTTTTACTCTTTCTACTTCATTTTTTTT